ATTAATTGGAATTTTTCACACACAAGCCTTGCTATATGAGCTCTCAAAGCATATAAAAATTATACGGCTTAAATGTGAAGTTGGGTGTAAAAGAATACAATTAAATCCTCTGTCGGGAAAAAACGAAATGACTTTCCGAACAACCCGATAGAATCGTCTTCTGTTTAAATGCCGTAATATGTTCATTAATTCGTTTACCGAATGATCGCCCAGTTTGCCCAATGTAAAATAGTCTAATTTATAGACTACTGACTTGTTTACGTTTACTTTTGATATTTTAATTTTATTTTTATGTTTTAAAAAACACATACACAATAATGTGACCGTTTAAAATTTTGTTATAATTCTTTTCTCTGTTTAATGAGTTTTTTATTTATACGATGCAATGTTTTATTTCAACTGATAAGTAAATAAGGATAAAGAGAAGGGAAGCCTAATGTTTGTTCCTCGACACAACAGTCTAGTTGTAAATCGCGATGAGGCTCGTGCTGTATTATTTTATCTCTCGGGTTTGTTTTTAAAAACATTTGTGGTTGTGTAAAAATATAATATGTGTTATAACACGGGACAATCTTAAATTGAGTGTGTTGGATTATGTATCGTGTACCAATGGTCTTAAAATTAAAACTTCATTATACATTTTGCAACTAGGATGAAAGGTAAATAAAAAGTATTTTTTTATTTTTTAATGGATACATGTTTAACAAAGACTTTTTATTATAAATGTGCTTCTTAAATAATAAGGAAGGTTTTAATTTACAAGAAATGCATTGTTAATGTTGTTAATTAATTAATTAATATACTATAATAACTTTTACGTACACGTTTCCTTTTTGATTTTAAAATTTGGACATAGGTAATGTTAACTACAAAATAAAATATTAAAAACTGAATTAATGAAAATATGATCAGTTGCCTTCTTCTTAAATAAAAGTGACTTATTTATTAAAAAATAACAGTGTGTATTTAATACAAAATATTGTTATTTATTCAGTTCTTAATACATTGTTTATTTTGCACTCGAGTTTAATCAACATTATCTATATTTTTTATATAAATGAAAGGCATTTATAATAAAATACGTCTTCGTTATGTATGTTTCTATTTAAAAAATCGTATATTTATCGTGAATTAGATACACAATGTAAGTTTACGAACAAATGCATCGTACTGTCCTATATTTGACCTTAACGATGAGTATTATAAGTTGTTTTTGTGCTTTTTCTGCCCAACACGCCAGAAAAAAAGTTGCCTTTCTCTTCGTTATCTGAATACTGTTTCAGTTTCATAGCAAAAATTCTTGGTAGTTTTATAATTCAGTGCTCAACTAAATTTTAACATTAGCTATAAATTTTAAATTACTCAACTTTGTAGATATTTACTTGCATACATTTAAAATTTATAGAATAGTTTTGATAATAACAAGGATTTTAGCGAAAAACTGAATCTTAAGTTGCTTCAGGTAAAAGAGTGAGCCAACATTTAATTTATGTTTAATGAGTTTATCTCACTACGTATTTCGTGATTTATTCCACATCATGCTGCATGATTATAACTAAATGTTATAGATACAGGAGGGGGTAATTTATTTCTCATATTAATTTTTATATAATAGAGAAAAAGACAAAAAAATGAAACAGGAGGATATAGTATTGAGCTTCACGAAAAGAGTTGTTTTCATGAGAAAAACTTTTCTTAAGTTTCTTTGTAGTTGAGACCTGTAATGTGTACTGTATGTTGGGTTGCCTATATATTATATTGCGAATTATACTCTAATTGTAAAAATAGATATAAATCAGCCTACCTAACTGCGTCTACATAACTAAAATGTATTTTTAAGATGCAAATTCATCAATTCAGCTCAATGAAACTAGACTCACAGTTAAAACAGCCTTCGTTTTCAATGTTCCCGGCGCCTCCACCAAAATTTTCAATAACTTAATTGCTAATAGTGTTTATATTTAGTTTCATGAATGCTCTATTTCCTGCATCACAATAATATTTATAATAAAAATTAAGTAAATATTCATAATTAGGAACTAAATAAGTTTTTAGAAGCTGCAAATAAAAATCTCTAAAGGTTTTTAACCAAATTTTATAAGATGTCTTTAAAAATATTACTTTATAATTAATTGTTTTTTCGGTTTGTTCAAGGGTTGTGTTGGGTTATTTTCGCGAGAAAAAACGTTTCCTAACTTTATTTATGGTTACATTGTTAGGGTTCTAATATTTGATTAATGTTGGGTTGTCTATATATCACATTACAATTTGTAGTTAATATTTAACTTTTTAACAGTTATTTGTTTATTTTCATGATCGTCTTAGTTTTTGCATCAAAACGATAGTTTATGATAAAAATTAAGTTAATATTCGCAATCGACAACTAAATACGTTTTTAGAACCATGAATAAAACTGTATAAGGATTTTCGATGAAATTTTAAAAATATTACTATTGAATTAATTATNTGATATTATTGATAATTAGTCAATAAGATAAAATAAGAATCTCATTTCAAAATCTTTAACTTTTTAAAAAGAAACCACCAGAACTAAGTTTATTACTATGCCATACGAGTGAAGGTTTACTCGAAGACTCTAGGGAATTATTCGTAGACTTGATGGCCACAGTTGTAATATTATTGATAAAATAGTCAATACGATAAAATTTAGGACTCTCATTTCAAAATCTTTATCTTTTCAAAAAGGAATTACCAAAACCAAGTTTATTACCATGCAATAAAAGCCTTAATTTACTTGAGGGTACTATTCATAAACTTGGTTTTCGAATTTGATACAGTTCAAACTTGAACTCTCTTCAAACTCTTCTTAGTAATACTACTCATAAAATTCCTATTCTGGATAAGTCGGGGATTTATGAATATGTTCAACTTGCTTTTAGTTTTTAGAACTGAGAGGCGTGACCTAAAGGTTTAGACCATTGCTTAAGAACTCAGGAGGGCATCGGTTCGATTCCTAGTGCATCTTCCGTGATCCAAGATTTTCTATGGTTTCCTGGTCAAACGCTTGGGCAGCCATGTTCCACAGGGAATCATTTCACTCTCTTCTGTCTTCAATTAGTTCATCTCATCCTTCTCACCCAGCACCCTCCACATATTCCAATGATTCTTAAAAGTAGGCTGAAGATGGCCTTCTGACTTGAAGGTGTAGTCCAAAGGAACTGTCCGCCCACCAACATTAGTAGCTGGTGGGAATAAAACATCCAAATGTTTTTTAGTTTATAGTCTCTTTATTGATTGAAGTTGGTAACCTCGTTACCAAAAAGTACTTCGGATGTTTAGCGGCCTGTTTCAGCGTTAGGATTTGAGCGATTTAAAGTGTTCTACAACATCGTCAAGGTTTTACAGTCTTCTAGATTCCTTTAAGATCTTTCAAATAATGATGAGCAAATTTGGTCTTCATCTTAGTCTTACATTGTTACCAAAAATTGTTACTTCTGGTACATGTATTCTTGTCGTCCAATTCTTAAAAAAGTAAAAGGTATTCGGTTTTTATTATACAAGAGTTCATATAAACGTATCTTGTAAAAGACAAACTTCATCTAGGAAATCAGATAAAATATCGAAATGTACAAAAACAGTCGTAAGGCCTATACATGTTGGTTCTTAAAAATATTTATTTTTTCGAACATTACTCTATCATGTACCTAGCATTGGTACGGAAACAGTTTGGTTTTCATTTTCAATTATCACCAACTATTGGAGGAAACGAACTGGTCGAAGAAAAGGTCTTTACCCGACAAGTTTGTTTTGGATTCTGCACCAAACGCAGTTGTAAAGTCATAACCCTGCACACGTGTTACCTACACGTACATAAACTTCCTGTCGAATTCATTAACGGATTTTCTAGTTTGTTTTGTTATTCCTCATGTCAATTTATTCTTCTCTTACATACGACCGAACCAATGCGCCGGTTTCACCTTTGCTTTACTTTGCTTTGCTTGATCAGCTGCGACAGTACTAATTTTCTTCGGTTCAACTTGGCGGACCAAGCGGTCATTAATATTAGAATTACTATGAACTCAAAAACCTCAACAGTCAAAAGGAATTGATAGTAACTAGGGGAAACTCAAAGACCTATTATGTCTTTATTCTGAGTTATATCATTAAAATATTACATATTGATATTGGCAAAAGAAAACATTGTTTTAATAACATGCAGGAAAATGAAAACGACGAAACGGAAATGGTGGTAAATAGCGTGAATTGGATTGGCTGTAGCTCAGGTCCGGACTAGGATGTCGGTCTGTTTTTGATATTTTTCTCTCATGAACAATAACAATGACAATTTTTTGTAAATGTAAGGCATATTATACACGATTAGTTTTAAATTTTACGAACGCAATCAACAATTAAGTATATTAATTTAGTTACTTAATAGTTGTCTGCTCAGTTGACGGTAGATGTCAGTATTTTATTCTTATTTGCAGGGATACCTAAAACCTTGGAAAAACGACTCATCCTGTCCTCTTGTAGAACATTTACAAGATCTCTTTAGTAACATTGAAGAGATTTACAGGTTTAACAGGTAAGTAAATATATTATATATTTATAATATCTACTTTTGTTATAAAAAAATAATTTCTTCATTTACTTTATCAACTTTACTGCTTTAAATGACGTTCTTGTTTTCTATTTTGCAGAGAATTTCTCGAACAGTTGAAAGAAGCAAATTTCGATCCTACAAAAACGGCAAATTGTTTTATTCAAAACGATTCCGGTTTTTCAATTTACACAGAATATTGCACGCACTACCCAAGAACCATGGACGTTTTAGGGGAATTAACTAGGGATGAAAAAATAGCAGCACTATTTCGAGAAAAGCAAATGAAACTCGGCCATGCCCTTCCTTTAGGATCATATTTATTAAAACCTGTACAGCGCATACTCAAGTACCATTTACTATTACAGGTAAGTTCCAGAAAAGACAACAATTAATCCTGCGATCGACATCTCCTTTTTCTGTAATGTTATTAATTACTTCCTTAATTATAGCGTTTATCAAAACAATGTTCAACATCGCATAAGCCAGCGGTCGATTTAGCTTTGGCGACGATGACCAGCGTCGCGACGCACATTAACACGATGAAACGCAAACACGAACATGCCGTTAGGGTTCAGGAAATCCAGTCTCAATTGTACGGTTGGACTGGATCCGATCTTACTGCATTAGGGGAGCTAATTGCCGAAGGGACTTTTCGAGTTGGGGGAGCCAGGGGGAGGCGCCACGCATTTTTATTCGACAAAGTATTACTGCTCGCAAAGACCAAACCCGACGGCTATCTGGCATACAAAATGCACATCATGGTAAGCTGAGAGCATAGAAGTGCAATAATCGCCTACTTGTGTTATTTATTTTTTTTTACAGTGTTCCAATTTGATGTTGGTAGAACAAGTAAGAGGTGAACCGTTAAGTTTTCATGTTTTGCCATTCGACAATCCTCGACAACAGTGCACGTTGCGAGCCAGATCGGCCCTTCAGAAGAGAGAATGGACTTTACAGTTGAAAAGGGCCATTCTGGAGAACTACAACGCCGCGATACCCAGCCACGCTCGTCAATTGGTTATGCAACTGGGCCAAGACGTACCGGATGTGGTGGACGACGAAAAGTGGTCACCTCCTCTCAAACAACATTCAGCACCGCAGTATTTAGAACGACGGAGTCGTTTCAGGAAGACGCGCGACTCCATGGGCAGTCGTAGAGCTGCATCGACTGAGAGATCGTTCCCTACATTACCGAATTGGAGGCGGAAATCGGAGCCCGGCATAATCAACCAATACACGACCAAAACCCTGCCGAAACGTATTACAAAACTTAAAAAAGTCAAAGACCAAACTGCCAAGTTCTACACCGACTTTTCTGACTCCGAAAACGTGGGCGAGTCGATGGAAAGCCTGAACGTTAGCAACGATAAGACTGAAGAAGACAAAGACCATATTACGCCTCTAGGTGACAATAGTAACGAAGACAATTTACAAGAAGTCAGCGTTCTTGAAGATATCGACGAGACTGAAGTGGCCACTAACACTCTCGAGCGGGTGGTGTCTGATTTACTCATGCAAAATCAAGAATTTCAACGAGTGCTAAGCAAACAGAAGAAAGGAAAAGATCCAGAAAGTCCAGACGTTTGGCCACCAGAAGAAACGGAACTGCCCAACAAGGCTGATTCTTTACCTCGAGATTTTCAACTGAATCAACAAGAAAAAGATGACGCATTCAAAAAAGATGGACAAAAGTTGACAGGATGTTTATCTTTCAAAATGAAGTCAGAAACAAACACAGACGAACGTCAAGAAAAGTAAGTTTTCCATTTGTCGATTATCTTTCATGTTATTCCTAAAATGATTTTGTTGTTTACAGGACCATCCTGTTGGGTCTAGATGAAGACAACAATCACCCAGAGCATAAAATCTACAGGAAGAGCGTCATCCGTTCCAGTCTCGTTCAAAGATTCCGTGCCATGTTACACGAGGAACAAAAGCAAAAGTACAAGAGCAAAGTTCTGTCTTACAAGCAAGGATCAGAAAGCATGGGAGCCAAAATAGCCCATCCCGATTACGTCGAACCAGTTCGTCTATTTTCCTCGACGAAAACGTTGAACTCTTTGGACTCGCCAACGTCACCCTCTGAAGAAAAACCAAAGGGTCTAACCAAGCAACGATATTCCGATCAACCGAAAACCGACACAGACGTAAATGCTTTGAACGATCTTAAATCTAGTCTTGAGGGTTCGAGGAGTTCGGATAACCTGAAAATAACAAGCCAAAATTTCGACAGCTTCTACGAGTCTCTCATGGAACAACGACTGAGTGAAGAGTACATAATGCAAAACCGAAACGTCCAGAATGAAGATAAGGCGGGAACGATGGTCAAAATAAATTATGAAACAACCGTTACGACCACCAAAGGAGTAGAGAAAAGTCAAGGTGAAGTATGTTCCGAAAATCCGCCCCCATTAAAAGAAAAACGAAGTAATATGAAACGTCCGACCAAAGCACCACCTCCCATACCCAGCAAACCCAGCAGACTCTTGAACAATAGTACCACCACGGTTGGATCAAATTCACCATCGTCGAAAGAAAATGTGTCTGTGGTGAGAAGCAGGAGCGAACCCGTGTCATTGAAAAGCGAAATTCACTGCAAACCGATGACGACTTCCAAAGGTTGGGTCAAGACTGTGGTTGGCAGGTTTGAATAATAATATTTTTTGGTAGTTTAGAAAGTTATTTATCTTTGGATAATTATTTTTGTTTCAATTAACACTAATAATCGTAAGTAGCGAAATTAGAACATGGTATATTACTATGTTTTCCTGTAAATAATATTCACCTTTATGGCCTGTTTTATTGTTAAATAATTTTATGTAATTGTTGAACGAAGTGCCAAAACTAGTTGAATCGTTGTAAAGTAAAAGAAAGCAACGACGTGCAAGTAAGAGAAATATACGAGAGGAAGATAATATTATTTTAAAAATTTTTGCACTCTGTTGTAAACGATGATGAAATATTATTATTTATAACAATGTTCTTTACGTTTTCTTATCGTCAGTACAAACCTCGTTAGTCCTTTAGCTTTACAATGTAAATAAATTATTTTTTACTTATTATATTTTTTTACCTTTTTGCAACGATAAACCGAAGTAGTTTTGTTTTATTAAATAATCTTAATATATAACTGACATCAACAAATTTAAAATATTACTTAAGAAGATCAGTTATTTAAAGCAGCTGCTGGTGTGCCAGCTGACGGTAAGTAATATAGATGTAACTTTGGCGTAAACGGCATCTAACGGTAAGTAAGGAAAACTTCAGTAGCAATGTGGCATCAAAGGTAAGTGTGAAAAACTTTTGAACTTCAGGCTTCATGTGTGTATGTGTGTTTCTGTGTGTGTCTGTGTCAGTGTGTGTCTGTGTTTTGTGTCTCTATGTGTGTTACCTATAATAATTTGTTAATTGTCATATTTTGCAAGGGAATTTTGGCTAATAGTATAAGGTTGTTCGGAAAGTTATTTCGTTTTTTTTTTTTGTGGAAATGAAAGACAGTTTTCGTATAACAAACAAATACTTTATTAAATTATATATTGACCGTTCTGGTCCAACATCTTTTGCCATCTTTCTGGTAGTAGCATAATTCCACGCGCATAAAATTTTTGATCTTTGCTGGCAAAAAACTGATCGAGGAGGTTTTTGACCTCCTCATTTGAGGTGAAGGTTTTACCGTCTAAAAAATTTTGGAGTAACCGGAACAAATAATAATCCGATGGTGCCAGCTCTGGAGAATATGGTGGGTGTAGCATTGTATCCCATTCAAGCTGTAAAAGCTTTTGGCGAGTGACCAAACTTGTGTGAGGTCTCGCGTTGTCTTGGTGAAACACTACACCTTTCCTGTTGATTAGTTCTGACCTTTTCTGTTGAACTGCATCATTCAGTTTGTCCACCTGATGACAGTAGACTTCCGAATTAATCGTTGTGTTATCCGATAAAAGCTCAAAAAAAAAACGATTCCTTTAAAATCCCACCAAACAGACATCATCACCATGCGCTTCAAAAACGGATCATTTTCGTGACGTTTGAGAAGCGAATCGCACACGTGAATGCGGCGACACAGATTTCTCTCTGTGAGAACATGGGGAACCATTACATCGAGCTTCGAGGATAATCCCAGGCCTTTCAAGTGGTCATAAACTGTTGAATTTGATAAATTTAACCTCAATCCGATCTCACGTGTTGTTATTCGCCGGTTCACATCAACTAATGCCTTTATCGCGTCTTTATCAGCTTCAACCGGCCTTCCCGAACGTGGTGTATCTTCGACATCAAAATTGCCGGATCGAAATTTAGCGAACCAGTTCTGGCACTGACGTACTGTCAACACACCTTCTCCATACACATCAGTCAATTTCTTTCTGGCTTGAACAGCATTTTTACCCTTTCTGTAGTAAAACAGTAAGATATGTCGAAAATGCTGCTTATCGCTCTCCATATTTAAAAGGGCACCAACCAAAAACTACTGCGTAGAATTAATTGGAATTTTTCACACACAAGCCTTGCTATATGAGCTCTCAAAGCATATAAAAATTATACGGCTTAAATGTGAAGTTGGGTGTAAAAGAATACAATTAAATCCTCTGTCGGGAAAAAACGAAATGACTTTCCGAACAACCCGATAGAATCGTCTTCTGTTTAAATGCCGTAATATGTTCATTAATTCGTTTACCGAATGATCGCCCAGTTTGCCCAATGTAAAATAGTCTAATTTATAGACTACTGACTTCTTTACGTTTACTTTTGATATTTTAATTTTATTTTTATGTTTTAAAAAACACATACACAATAATGTGACCGTTTAAAATTTTGTTATAATTCTTTTCTCTGTTTAATGAGTTTTTTATTTATACGATGCAATGTTTTATTTCAACTGATAAGTAAATAAGGATAAAGAGAAGGGAAGCCTAATGTTTGTTCCTCGACACAACAGTCTAGTTGTAAATCGCGATGAGGCTCGTGCTGTATTATTTTATCTCTCGGGNATTATAGCTCAATTATAGATTTTATTTTAAATTATCCCGGCGCCTCCACCAAAATTTTTAACGATTTTTCAGCAGTTATCAGTAATGTTTATTCATTTTATCATGAACGTCTTATTTTTTGCATTAAGAGAATAGTTTATGATGAAAACTAAGTTACTATTCTCAATCGATAACTAAATATGTTTTTAGAACCTCCAAATAAAAATGTATAAAGACTTTCAACCAAATTTTACAATATGACTTTAAAAGTATTACTGTTGAATCAACTATTTCTTCATAGCATTTTGTGGTTAGTTAGAGGATAGTTTTGGTTTATTTTCCTGACGAAAAACGTTATCGAACTTTATCCATAGTCGGCGATTAGGGTTGCGATTTTTGAGTAATGTTGGGTTGCCTATATATCATATTATAATTTCTGGTTCAATTTATTGTAAAAAACTACATAAATTAGCTTCCCTAATTGCACCTACATTGCAAACACATAATTAAATGATGAAAATTCATCAAACTACTGCATTGAAATCGAAATTATAGCTCAATTATAGATTTTATTTTAAATTATCCCGGCGCCTCCACCAAAATTTTTAACGATTTTTCAGCAGTTATCAGTAATGTTTATTCATTTTATCATGAACGTCTTATTTTTTGCATTAAGAGAATAGTTTATGATGAAAACTAAGTTACTATTCTCAATCGATAACTAAATATGTTTTTAGAACCTCCAAATAAAAATGTATAAAGACTTTCAACCAAATTTTACAATATGACTTTAAAAGTATTACTGTTGAATCAACTATTTCTTCATAGCATTTTGTGGTTAGTTAGAGGATAGTTTTGGTTTATTTTCCTGACGAAAAACGTTATCGAACTTTATCCATAGTCGGCGATTAGGGTTGCGATTTTTGAGTAATGTTGGGTTGCCTATATATCATATTATAATTTCTGGTTCAATTTATTGTAAAAAACTACATAAATTAGCTTCCCTAATTGCACCTACATTGCAAACACATAATTAAATGATGAAAATTCATCAAACTACTGCATTGAAATCGAAATTATAGCTCAATTATAGATTTTATTTTAAATTATCCCGGCGCCTCCACCAAAATTTTTAACGATTTTTCAGCAGTTATCAGTAATGTTTATTCATTTTATCATGAACGTCTTATTTTTTGCATTAAGAGAATAGTTTATGATGAAAACTAAGTTACTATTCTCAATCGATAACTAAATATGTTTTTGGAACATCCAAATAAAAATGTATAAGGATTTTCGACTAAATTTTACATTGCATTGCTAAAAATTATACTATTAAATTAATTATTTTTTCATGCATTTTGTGGTTTGTTCTAAGATAGTTTTGGTTTATTTTTGTGAGGGAAAACGNGCCTTTAAAAATATTATTAAATAATGAATTAATTCTTTGTAATATTTTGTGGTTTATTCGAGGATAGTATTGGCTTGTTTTCGTAAAATAGATGTTTTCTGACTGTCGATATACTTAGGTTATTAGAGTTGTAATATTTGGTGTATGTTGGGTTGCCTATATACCATATTAAATTAGCTTTCTACAATTTTCTTTGCGTAAAATTGTTAAAAGAACTAACATTTAATAGTATTAAATTGACGAAGAGTTTTGAGAAATATTTAGATATAGATGTAGAAAAATTCAGCTGTTAATCTAGCATATTTTTGAGTCTGTACTGATTACAAAACCGTTTGTAATAATTAATAAAAGTCTGCAATTATGGTGAGCAATTTTTGAAGGCATAAGGATATCTAACTACTATCAAAGTTTATTATTTTTTTGGGATATTCAAGGAATAGTAAATGAAATTTATCTTACTGATAAAAAAAGAAACCAAAATCTTTACAAAAATGATTATTATATACACATTTTCATACATTGCATTCCCAAATGGAAGTTTATTTCATTTTTTCACATTCAATTTTTTTCATTTCTTCTTCGATTTTTTTGCTTTTGTCTTCTTTTGATCTGTTTCGACCTTCCTCTTGTGTTCTTCGTTCAATGGTGGAATGCTGAAACCTTTAACAACAGGAAACACCAATTGGAGGACAAGCTTTTCACGTTGGATGTTATTTGAATCCAGTGCAAGTCTCACAATGACAGGATCAAAGGCATGAAAGACGACATCCTCATACTTTTGAGTCTGATCCTGGAAAATAAAAATAACGGTACAAAACTAAGAACATGAAATACACATCTGCAATTTACCTCTTCATTGTATTCAAATATGGACTTTTTACCCTTTTGGGATAAGTAAAGAGTACTTTCCAAGCCATACCTGGGTATAAGGATCTGTAAGGCATTCTTTCGTACAGATAGAATGTAAGCCTCTTCATCCTGAAGTTTCCCTCTAAAGAATAACTGTAACATAAAAAGAAAAACGAACATTAGACATCACATTTAATTCTATATTACACAAAAACTCCCTGAGAAAGGGGGAGAGAATTATTAAGAAAAAACAAGACAAGAAATTTACGTGAGTATTGAAAGCCACAGAAGCCCTCCCTGCAAGTTGCGCCATGCGATTCCTGTAATTCAGATTTTGGCACAAATCACTCGTCTTGTGCTTGTCCAGGAGATCAGGATAAGTCACATCAGCACCTATGGACACGGCCAGTAGTCGATGCACGATTATGTCCGCATAACGTCTTATAGGTGACGTGAAATGCGTATAAAGGGGCACAGCAAGACCGTAATGGTAATAATCCTCTTTTTGGAACATGCCACTTGCGAAATAAACAGCTTGCATCATACAACGTGTCGCCAGAATCCTCAACATTGTGTTCATATACGGATTGTCCTCTTTGACTGCATTGTCCATAGAAATTGCCAATTCTTTGTTTGAGCCTGTTTTTATTTCGAAACCCTTAAAGATATATTTTATCATTACATTACTAAAATGATATATCGAATTCAAATACAAATAAAAAGCAAAAGCCTAAACTAGTACACATTTTATATCAATGGGAAAACTTACCAAATGTTTCCCAGCTTTAACAAGTGGCTCATAATTTATTTTGGGAGGTTCAGGATGTCTTCTAAGCATAGCACAATCAGGAAAGTCTTTTAAAGTCTTCTCAGCAGTACTTATATTTGCCAATAACATGAATTCTTCTACCATAGAATTGGTTTCAAACAACTTTTTCACTTCCACATCAATTGGGTCCATTGTTTCCGAGTCCATTCTAATTTTCACTTCAGGAGAAGCAAGCACTAACGCTCTACAATAACAACAACAGCAAAATTATCTATAAATCTAGAAAAAGCAACGTTTGTTTACCCCTTCTCTAAACGTCTTTGTTTCAAAATTTTTGCCAAATTATTTAAATTTCGTAGAGATTGGGCTATTGAATCGTTCCTAGATTTATCGTCTATAGTTAATTGAGCTTCTTCATAAGTCATCGCTTTTCTTGATCGAATGATACTTTTGTGAAATTTTGTCTTAAGAATATTTGCATTTTTATCCATTTCCCAGACGCAAGAGAATGCAAAACGGTCTTCTCCTCCACGAAGAGAACATAAATTGGAACTTAATAATGCTGGAACCTTTTCAAAAAATTATATATTTACTAAAATTTGTTAATATATATTGCAAATACTTTTAAACAATTCGCAAAAAATAATCACATATAAACTTACCATATCAATTCTTTTGTCAACTAAATAAACAGTGGTAGCCCTGCTAGCAGCTTCGACATCCAGTGCGGATCCAGGCCGGATAAAATGCGAAACGTCGGCTATGTGTACGCCCACTTCTAACATCCCGCCCTCGATTTCTCTACAGTGCAAGGCGTCGTCGATATCGGTACATCCCGGAGGGTCTACTGAACAAATGTCCAGATGACGAAGATCTGTACGTTTTGCAACATCCTATTAAAATAATAAAAATTATGGTTTAAATTTTAAAGTAGTATTGGGTAGTTAGATCAGCAATTTCTTATGCTGAAGTGTACGATGTGTTGCATAGCTATTTACAGACAATTCCTTTAAATTTAATTTTTCAAACAATTTTTAACACAAAGAAAGTGATTAAACAAATTATTCACAAAAGTGAACTTCGACCACTCAAAGCAATGGTGCTAACAGTTTCGAGTTCACAATAACTAATTAGTTTATAAAAAAATTAAAAACAGACTCATAAAAAGTACAATTTACATACTACAAACCTCTTCGGTTATAATCCACGGTAACTTTGGGAGACAACTTAAGACTTCTTCTGAAAATTTGCTATGTGGTACGTCATGTTCTAATAGCACAACTTCGTTTTCTGTAGCTTGATCCCCAATCTTGCCCAATGCTCTCACAAAATGGCCCTGAATTTTAAATAAAACATTAATTATTATAATTCTACATTTACATTGTAGGTTTCATAAAAAGGGTTCCTTCTCTAAAAAGAAATTGCTACTTACTGCAGGATACCTAGAATACCTAGGCCAATCATCGATTACCACCACAATTTTCTGGGTCTTTAGGAATTCTGCTTGTCTCGTTTCTATTCGTATTTTGGGAAATTTCTTATCAGCAGGAACAAAGAGATGATATAGGGCACCTTCAGGAGCATCCTGTTGTAGAATCCCACAAAATGGTCGCCACTTTCTTCTGATTATTCCCACGACACATCCTGTTGGTTTAGCTTTCTCTTTTTTCTTCTTCCCTGTACTGTACTCCTTCAACTCATTTTCTTTCAATAAAACTTCTTCTACCGCAGTATCGACTCTACTTTCATCCTCTAAAATAATCTCACTTGGAGCAATCCAGTCTTGTTCTTTGAAAATTTCCACGGCAACCAAATCACCATCAATAGCCCTATTTTGACCTGAACGACCTTGCACCAGTATCTGTAAAAACAAATATTAATATCTATAGGGATTTCTCTTCTTACTCTTATTTCTGCAGGCAGAAAATAAATCAAACTACTTACAGCATCTTCGTAACCATCCACACTAACAAAGCCTTCTAAAAAGTTGGAAGTAGAAGCTCTATAGGTCCCTTGATGTAATCGTCCTTCCTTGATGCCCTCTTGAACCTGTGTAACTGTTAAATGGGCTGGGAATAAGTCTTGAGTATCAGATTCAACATGATAATCTCTTTTTGCTAATTTGTCTTCTAAAAGGTTGTTTTCTTTAATGCTTCTTACATATTGCTCAACTAAAACATACATCAGATCATAAATAAACAACATTAATCATGCATATTTTGCTTGCCCTACTAGAACATGTAGTTATATTTTCTTCTTCAGCAAGTGCTCTGTTTCTAGCATCATCTGTAATGAACACAAATTTTGCATCTGGTATATGATTTATGTACCACAAGCATGCTGTTCGTATGCAGCGGTCATTGTAATCATTTATTAGTTCAGTATCTTCTTGAGGAACATAACATTCTCTAAAAATGTTACACAAGTTGTTATAACTAAATGAAGTTTACATATAAATGAATTTTAAAAACTTACCTGTGATGGTCATTTATAAAAACAAAAAAATGTCTATTTGGATTATCTATAACGGCATTTAATCGTTTATAAATTGCCAAACTCCTATGTTTTACTTCTTTAAGAACAGTATGTAAAATAATAACATTACATATAACATCTTCCTCTAAAATATCCATCTGAAAAATATTTTAATATAGCAAACACAATTGTTAAAGCTCTAAATAAGGCAGAAAATTACTTGATCTAGTATAATATTTGTATCTAGTATTAGATAATGTGGGTAATTAAATAAACCACTTTTATTTTCAATATTAGACGAAAGAGCAGTGTCTTCTGGTTTACATACATTACAGCTAGTAAAGCCACAAAATAAATCGTCTCTTAAATAGTGTTCCCTTATATTCTGAAACGTTTTAACTTAATTATTTCAGTTAAGAAAGTGCTTCATGAACAGTACCTTCAGAAAGTTTCCAATTTTATTTTTCCTAATGAAAACTTTAGTTGTGAACATTGTACAGTTTTTTAAGAAAAATTAGATGCCTCACAAAACACTGTTTTATTCGTTATTTAAATATTGTCTAATAACTAAATAAAAACTGTTATTCACACAAACATTTAGGGTTATGATTATCTATGGTTAAAATCGTAGGTTAGAATGTAAAAGCAGCAATCATAGAATGAACAAATTCAACATAGTTGCCGCAGAATTGCTTCCTTGTCTTAAGAATATTTGCATTTTTATCCATTTCCCAGACGCAAGAGAATGCAAAACGGTCTTCTCCTCCACGAAGAGAACATAAATTGGAACTTAATAATGCTGGAACCTTTTCAAAAAATTATATATTTACTAAAATTTGTTAATATATATTGCAAATACTTTTAAACAATTCGCAAAAAATAATCACATATAAACTTACCATATCAATTCTTTTGTCAACTAAATAAACAGTGGTAGCCCTGCTAGCAGCTTCGACATCCAGTGCGGATCCAGGCCGGATAAAATGCGAAACGTCGGCTATGTGTACGCCCACTTCTAACATCCCGCCCTCGATTTCTCTACAGTGCAAGGCGTCGTCGATATCGGTACATCCCGGAGGGTCTACTGAACAAATGTCCAGATGACGAAGATCTGTACGTTTTGCAACATCCTATTAAAATAATAAAAATTATGGTTTAAATTTTAAAGTAGTATTGGGTAGTTAGATCAGCAATTTCTTATGCTGAAGTGTACGATGTGTTGCATAGCTATTTACAGACAATTCCTTTAAATTTAATTTTTCAAACAATTTTTAACACAAAGAAAGTGATTAAACAAATTATTCACAAAAGTGAACTTCGACCACTCAAAGCAATGGTGCTAACAGTTTCGAGTTCACAATAACTAATTAGTTTATAAAAAAATTAAAAACAGACTCATAAAAAGTACAATTTACATCCATCAAACGCCTACAATGAATCATAAATTATAGCTGAATTATAGCCTTTGTAATAAAAAGTATGAGGGTCTTCAAATGAATTTCTCAATTTGCCTTTAAAAATATTATTAAATAATGAATTAATTCTTTGTAATATTTTGTGGTTTATTCGAGGATAGTATTGGCTTGTTTTCGTAAAATAGATGTTTTCTGACTGTCGATATACTTAGGTTATTAGAGTTGTAATATTTGGTGTATGTTGGGTTGCCTATATACCATATTAAATTAGCTTTCTACAATTTTCTTTGCGTAAAATTGTTAAAAGAACTAACATTTAATAGTATTAAATTGACGAAGAGTTTTGAGAAATATTTAGATATAGATGTAGAAAAATTCAGCTGTTAATCTAGCATATTTTTGAGTCTGTACTGATTACAAAACCGTTTGTAATAATTAATAAAAGTCTGCAATTATGGTGAGCAATTTTTGAAGGCATAAGGATATCTAACTACTATCAAAGTTTNATATAGGAAATGTTTAAGATATTTAAGCAACACATTTTGCAAAACATATCTGAAAATGGATAATAGAATATGTTTAATTTGACAGTATTGTGTTAGTTTTGGCAACAACGGTTAGTCCGTTCTTATTTGCATTCTCATTGGTGGAATAAGTTTATTAACATATTATTTTTGAATTTTTAACATACAGGGTGTTATTTGATTGCAGCACAAAAATCTCAAAAATATTTTTTTCAATAAGTAATGCAGAAGGATAATATTAATTAAAACACGCACATCGAAGTAATAATAACTGTATTTATCCTACAATTAAAGGATTATTTACTAATGTTGTACCGCAAGATAACTGATTATACATTAAAGAAAACCCCCTATTTCCCACATTTTGCATTGTAATGTCTGTTGTCATATTAATTTGAGTAGAATTTGTAACGACCGTTAAAACGAACGGTTTCGATCCAGCTGAAAAACGAAATTAATTATGTATGAACGGTATTTTCTTATCACAATTCTTGAAGGCTTAAAAGTATATTATACTCACTGGTCACTGTATTAAACTGATTACCACAAAATCGATCGGACCCCACCGCAGTTCCATTGGGGTAGAATGGATTTGGTATGACCACAAAGTCATCTAAACAAGCGCCATTAATCAATGCCCCCGTTGGCAAACCAGGATCAACAGAAAGACCAACGGTATCACCGGAAACGGAAAAAGAATAAGGATCTCCGGCACTTTGGGACCATTGAATGGCACAATACCCCGGTACCATTTGAATACAAACGCCATAATTTAAATTTGCCAATTCTCGAGTGCCAGGAAAATTGGTACCGTTAAAATTCAAAATGGCACTGCTCACAGTGGAACCATAATTAAAACTTCGTACTGTACCAGTCAGTGCGGTATAGTACATGAGACAACCACTAGGAGCTAAAATAAAATTAAAGAACTTTATAGAAGTTAATAAGAAGTAGGAGAGATATGTTGGTAGGATACTTTGAGGTAGAAACGTGGGTTAAGAGTTGGAGATGTGGGTTTCTCGAATTCTTGATAAATGCGAAGGTTGGCTCAGGATAGGAAAAATTAAGTGGAGTATGTCTTATGGATGATGACCTTATGATGATGATTACTACTATGAATGCCCAAAAAAAAATTACAATAACCCAAGGGACTTTAAACAAGAAAAGAATCTTTAACTAATGTTAATTTTTTTCGAAATTTTTGCCAGATACCTCTGGAAGGGTTGTTGCATTCGATTTGCGCAATTCTCAAAAACCAATTTCGGGCTTGTGACAAAGCTGACGTAGTACTGATCACTATTTGTATGTCGTTGTCTCCATTAAAATCGACATAAAGGTGTTGACCGCTATTTTCACCACATATAACTGGTACTGTTGAAGCGCCCCCAAGAACATACATTGCATCAAAAATACAATACCCATTACCATCCGGTTGCGCTAAAGAAAACGATAACAAATCTATACGAATCTGAAAAGAATTTAGAATTAAAACCCAAGCCCAAAATCATACGGTATAAAAATATATTATCTATGCCATGAGTTAAAAAAGAAAACGTAAATAAACTGTTAGGGGACAGTCAATAAATATTGTTAGACTTAAATTGTTGCAATTGAGTCGTTTCTCCTGTATTTATTTATTTATCTCCTATAACTAAAGAGCTTACTTGGCATATTCCCGCATTGCACTTCCTTATCGTAAGGGTGCACGATGTTGCAGTGTCAAAAGTGTTGGGATAATTTGGACTAACAAAATAAGTATTATTATATAAAGCTGTATCCCCGCAAGTTGCAAAAACTAAAAGGGGAAAAGTAATATAAAGTCATTAATTACACCAAATAATAATTGCGTACCAACGCAACAAACTCCTATATTGGAAGCGCATCTCCCTGATGCCACCCCATTTATATTTGTACATTGCCTTCGAGTATAACAAGTGCCATTTAGCCCATCTGACGCAGCACAAATGGAATTTTCGAAACGAACTATGCCTATGCCAAAAACTAAACAGAAAAAGTTTTGGATTGGTAAAAACAAAGAATTGATGGATTGAAACAATACTGACAATGATTATACTAACTCTAACTTTATAACAGGAAACATTATTAACGTAAATAAACTGTTTTAATGCCGATTAATTAAAAATTTTTTCGCTTACATCGACTATTTCTTTCAACTTGATCGTGCCATATATCAAGTTGGTCGCTTCTTTTTGCTAAAGAGTACTCATTCCAAGGATCATACAATGTTTTAGAATATCGAGTTTCGCTATAAGTAACTTTAAATATGAAAACTGCAATTACCACCACTGAACCCACGAGAACCTTCATTCTAAAGGACTACTCAGTTTAGTAATGTACAAGTTTTTGATACTCTTCCCAGCAACATAATTAAAGAGACAAACACTGTCCACAAGTTCTTCGCACATTTATGTTAAATGTCTTAAAAACTGTTACAATTAGCATGTGACAAATAATTACCATAACTGTATCGATTTGAAGAAATATTTACTGTAATATTTATTTGTAACACATATTTAAAAGTAGGTGTTCTAAAAAGTCTTTATATTTTTATTTTTGTATTGGACTTAATACGTACTTGCATCAAAAATTAAACTAAAAAAATAGTAATGTAGTCAGTTAATTCAAAGTATAGGGTTTTGTTTAAATAAATAGTAAAAAGAAACTTTATATGTTAAAGAATTACTTATTATGGTGGGGCGAGCATGCAGCTGTACAACTGTGTAAAAAAAGTTGCCTAACTTTATCTCAAGAAAAATTTAAAAAGTACATAAAAAAATAATTAAACCATATAAAGCTGTTGTAACTTTTATTGGAGATGTTTCAAAGAGTTCATTACAATTTTATGTCTTTATAGTCACAACTTACGACTTTTTATATAGACGATACTCGCGAATTGCTCTTTATTTCTGCGCTTTTTAGACAAGCATGTGTGGACTGTCTGGTCGGTTAACCCGCACTCTTTTTTAATGAATATAGTTTAAAATGGGTAGCTACTACATATAATTTATATGTTACTTTTCTTGTTTCCGGTGGGATAAAAATCACAAAAGAGAATTGTAAACTTTAAAAATTTATTTTTAGCATAAAGAGAACACAAAACTGATAACTATTTTTATAACTGGAACATAAACTTATTTAACAATATATATTAACAATTTAAATCGAAATAACAAGTTGAACAGTGTGTTAAGTCACCCTTAGATGCCTATACAATACATTATTAAGGATTAACACTTATTTAATGTAGTAATTTAACTCTTACGATTAACAAGAAAAATAAATAAACTATGAATGTATTTGAACGTATAAGTAAATGATATTCCTTTGTAATAACTTCTTAATTTGTCCTACTTCTTTTAGGGACAGGCTCTTCAGATTCAGGAAGTCTTGAAGTGTCTTCCTCAAAAGCGTTTTTAATACTATCAACATATTCTCTGAGAGCATTAAAATCCACAATTGGTCTAAAAACGATCATTAAAAGAAAACATTAGAATAATATTTAAGTTTTCTATGCTTTTCTATTTAGAATTTGCTGATTCTTATCAATAAATGGCAGAAATTTGAATCCTTCTAATACGTATGACTATCTCTTTAAGAGAAATATTTTAAATGCAGTTTTATTTTTGTTGTATTATCTATGATTATTAATTAATAGTAATATACTGAACGTTAAAAATAACTAATCAATGAACTTACTTTTTAATATTTCTACGAAAAGTAATGTATCTGTTCTCTTCCAAAAAATAAACCACGCCTTTGCGCTTATCTTTGGATAACTTATTTATAATCGCTTCTGGGTAGGATTTACTTTCCAAAATACAAAATATAATAAGGCTGAAAAGGTAATGAGGAAGTAAGAGCCCAACTTCTTTTTTAACTTTTAAATTTTTAACTTACAATCTGATAGCAATTTTTTCATGTTGCTCTTTCCCTAGAGCAGTCATCGTGACGTTGGTAGGTTGGATGCCTTCTGCTTTTTGGGCGCAATCCCAACAAACGAATTTTTCCGGAAATTCGTTCATAAAAACNTTTGTATTAAGAAATGTTTTGTTAATCTTTATTTAAGTAAATCTAAAAGAGGACATGTTTAGGTAACTTAAATTTAAATTTGTGCACCAAAATATTTTGTAGTGTACCAACCTGAAAATTCCAATGCTCTACAGCATAGTTTACCTTCATCTATGGTTAACCTAAAAAACTATTTTAAAAAACATGTTAACCGTAAAAGAATCTTGATTGTGTTATCAATTTTAAATGATAAACATTTCGTATTTTACATTCATTACCCTTTGTTTACATTCAAGGTCGTGATTTGAATAAACTTGTACCAAGTTTCAGTTTTATATTCCTTTTTCAAAAATGCTTAAAGTAAGTGCTGAAAGTTTTTGTATATTATAGAAGTTATAAGGAAAAACTAATTTTTCCTTAGAAATGTAATGTACTTATTTGTTGGTTTTTTTATAGGGAACGGTTAGTTTGGTTACTGGTGGAGCTAGTGGCTTAGGAAAAGCCACAGTTGAAAGACTTATTCAACAAGGTGGTCGTGTTGTGATATGTGACTTGCCTGCATCAAAAGGAAATGAAGTTGCAAAAGAATTAGGGGATAATTGTGTCTTTGCACCAGTTGATGTAATGCAATAAGTACTTACATTGATATATTAAAAATACCAACCTATAGTCATGTTGCAGGTGACATCGGAAAAAGATGTAGCTGATGCTCTATCACTTACTAAGGATAAGTTTGGGAAACTCAATAATCTCATTAGTTGTGCAGGAATTGCAGTAGCTTTTAAGACATTTAATTCTAATAAAAAATTGCCCCATAAATTAGAAGATTTTGCTAAAGTTGTGAATGTAAGTAAACATGGTATTAGATAAATTTAATGCTGTTAGGTATTGACAATAGGTAAGCCATTAATGCAATTTTCAGGTAAATGTAATAGGTACCTTTAATGTCATTCGATTGGCTGTAGGTTTGATGATAGAAAATGCACCAGATGAAAATGGGCAAAGAGGTGTAATCATTAACACAGCAAGCATTGCTGCATATGATGGTCAAAAAGGACAAGCAGCTTATGCTGCTAGTAAAGCAGGGATTGTTGGAATGACTTTACCCATTGCTAGAGATCTTTCAAATGATGGTATTCGAGTTTGCACAATTGCACCAGGTAAAATTTCATTTTTACTTGAATATATTGAATACCATTGACAATACACAATATGTACATATAATACTAGGAAATACATTCATCATTGCTACCCATTTAAAATTAGAAAAGTAATATAAACTATTCTACAAAATAGAGATACGTATACAATAGAAAATTATGTAATATTAATTATTAATGTGAAAATTCATTTTCAATTTTTTACCCACTATAAACTACCTCAGGTTAATGAGGGACACCGTCGCCGGGTACCAAGAGCATTGGTGCGTAAATCCAAAGTTCCCGGGTTCGATTCCCGGCGAGAGTATGACAACAACAACAAATTTTCCGTCATTAGTCTGAGGTAGTTTATAGTGGGTAAGANAATTATTAAATATATAAGAAAAAATTAAAAGAATTGTTCTTGATAGAGATAACAAAAGCTGTATCAAGATCTTAGAATAATAACATTGAAATTACAGTTAGGCATATTCTGTAATTTATTTTTTTTTATAGGTCTGTTTGATACACCTCTTGTGAGTATACTGCCAGACAAAGTTAGGGCCTATTTATCTAAAACTGTGCCATTTCCACAAAGATTAGGATATCCTGCAGAATATGCCCAGTTAGTACAAAATATTATTGAAAATCCAATGTTAAATGGAGAGACAATAAGATTAGATGGAGCTTTGAGAATGCAACCGTAACTTTTCTACTAAAACTTAAGGTAACAACTTTTGTCAAAATTAGTAGATTATAAATATTTTAGTACCTAGTCTTCTCTTCTTTTTGTTATTTTCTCCCTTTCTACTCAATAAAAACTTCAAACTTTTGAAAAAATACTAGCCGTTTCCTATATATTAAAATAACCATATCATTAAAAATACAGTCAACAATATATAATATATAATTAGTAATCGTAAAGATCTATACAGTTAGAAGCATAATTAAGTTCTCTAAAATAGATCTCATACGCAGGATAAAATTCGTTGTCTTCATATTTAACGATAACATCCCCATTTGGTTTCTGAGTGGTGTCAAATGTGGGAGGAGGTAAGAATGTTTTTTCATTGCCAGTACAAGATGCTGCAAGAAGCACAAATGCCAAGAACATTACTTTTTCAACTGAATTGCTTTTATCACAGTAATGTGTTGAATAGAATGATATTGGTGAAAATGAAACACCTTTTCCAAATCTATGGCCAAGGCTTTTACCATGAAGTCGCCAATTAAAGTTTTCATTGCGTATAGATGACACGTTTCCTCTTTTAGTACCATGAAACAATTCCATTGTATTAACATGACCAAATTTCGTGCGAATTTCTTCTTTTTTTATTTGAAAGGCAGCTAATAAATATGGATTTTGAATTTTTACAATTTTTGTAATATAAAAATTTTTTCTTGATTTTTTCTTTATATACATGTAGAATTTAGAGCTTACTTCTTCATATTCAGTAGAATGTGGTACCAGATCTACTAATTTTGTTGTATTCATATCCATTGGTTTCCAGTGTAAATTATGCACTTCAGTTTTTATTAGACTTTCAAACAAACTGTTGTTTCGTTTTACCACTTGAGGAGTGGGTAGCTTAGGTGACAAAAGTAGTGGAGCTTTTAATCGAGGGGTGGATAGTTTAGGTTCCAAACGGGGTGGTGGCCTTAATTTCAAATTACTTGATTGGTGAGTGTTTGTATTTGACAAATATTCATTCGAGTTTGCAACATTATTAATTACTGAAGGCCTTAAATAAGATGATGAATGTGACCATAGTGAAGCACTTTCTGTGTTTGTTTGCGAAATATTGCAATTTCTAGTTGCTGCTGATGGTGGTCTGTAATAATCTCTAACTTCGAACTGATGACTAGGACTACTAAATAATCCACCCATTTTTAATTTTACACTATTTTCACTTTTTTATATTTAAATCGGAACAATTATTATGTTGAAAATCACTTTATTTTTTAATTAACAGTTCTACTACAGAAACGATCAACTATTGTTTTTATACTGTTTTCTACTACAGGGGACTCCCCAATTTTCGTTTGGTTGCTGTCACAAGGCACACCGCCGTCAATATTTTATTTGTAATTATAATTTTATTGTTAGCAAAGTTGATGGCTTTTAAATTAGATTATCATTTGAAATAAAACAGGAAAGGCTGATCCAGCTGATAATTATTATGTAAGCTTTACTTGATGTGTTGATACTTTTATTCATCAACCAGGGTTGCCAAATGATCTTTTTGTATTCCCTAGATTTGCTTGCTGAAATTTCCTCAACTTAAACGAATATAAGGAAATGAAGTTCATTTTTAATTAACAAAGTACAAGAAAAAAGTGCGTATGCTGAAAACTTTCAAAACCGTTTATTACATCTACAATATATTTATATTTATTACAAATACATGAAAATCTCTTAAAAATACTATGATTCGTTATATTACAATAATACTACACCTATTATACATTATTCGTTACCAGGAAAAACCTAAAATGCATCGGAAACCCAAAAAAAAGTAGAGACGCCCTCCTGTTTGAAAATAAAAGCAACGAATAAAATTAATGTATATTTCACAATTGAATTGACGACAGCATCGTCTTCTCTTAATTATTTTACAATTTAGTACTTTTTGTTCAATAATTGAGGCTGGTTTCACGATTGGAAACGTTATTTACAAAACAGTTACAGTTAATTCTAACTTTAAGTATCATCACTCTTGAACATCACTTTCTTGCGCTTGAACGCCGGTCTTTTGTACCATGCACGAACGTGCTACTGATTCGAAAAGCCTAAAATAAAACACATTTTATTTATGGTTAATGGAAAATATTTTTAATACTCGTTACAAAGTAATGAAACTACGTCTGAATTAAAAATAACCCCAAAAGATTATAACATATAATTTTATTTGTAAAGACCATATAAATCACTGTATTCGTAAATAGGAAACACTTACTTTTCGATTTCTGGTGCGCAATGCACGAATTCATGATTCCAGAATTTGTATGTTGGATTTTTGATTAGTTCAATAAAAGTAATTAGCAAGCCCCATGGGTGTGGCCGATTAACGATGAGTCTTTCCAGCAGTACCCGCGTTATTTGTTCCTGAATGGCCTCGGTATTCGCTTCCGCGAATAGATACAATAACGTGCATGAAAAATAGTGCGTGTGACTGTTCGGATACCGTAACTGATTAGCCACAGCATTTAAGAACAGATAACGGCCTTCGGTGTCCAGATCGACCGTTAGGTTCTGGAATATGTCCATGTGCGCACTATGAGCTATTGTAGACATGTTCGGCGTTAAGCCCTTGCTGCGGATGTACGCGATCGCTTGCGTACCAACGTACATGACCAGGGCATTCATCAAGGGGATATTGTATCGCATGCCCGGCTCGTTCGAAACCTGTAGGTTGCTACGCAACTCTGACAGGAAAGTAACGGGTGCGCGCGCTTTCAGGTACGAGTCGAGGTCTTTTTTGAATTGTGAAGGAGTAATCAGAGCCGCAAAGTTCGTTAATACACGGGGGGCATATGATATTTCTTGCAACATGTCCACCTGTTGAATAAAGGAATATTATTATAGTTCTGTAATACAAAATTATTAGAAGTTTTACGTAAGAGAATAATTTAAGGTAATATAATGAAGATTTATCCCAAAGAAAAACAATACCTTTAAATTGGGTGTGAAAGGATCAGGAAGACGCATATTCCTTGGAAACGCAGACAGGATTAAGTTACGCATCTGAATACAGTTGGGCGGTATTACATCGCAGAACCCGTAGTGGTAATCGCATAAGAATTCGGGAAAATCATGTAGGAGAACCAACAGCACCCTTAGTGTACCCTTGTAAAGCATAGTGACCGGTTTTGCTAATTCTGCGTTCCTCAAAAAGGGTGCAAGATATTTGAACAGATCGATTAACAATTGGGCGTACATGGCCCAGCCCTTTTGTTGAGGCGTGACGGCGAGCATGCGTCCTATAAAGACACGATGCGATATCAGTTCGAGCCATGCATAGCAGAATCCGGCTGCCTTTGATGGTCGCAGAATATGATACGTGTGACAATAAGCCGTAAGAACTTGGAAGTTGATCGCTTCCAGAACAGGTTCAGGTGCACACAATTCGAGGAACAACATTATAAAGATTCGGTGATAAGGCAACTGCTGGAACTCAGTCATCCTGTATTTAGAATTAAAAAGGTTTCTTAATAAGTTATCAAATGTTTAATGAATTATAAACTAACCTAGTTTCATGATCTTGAAGTAAACATCCTGCCACAATCCCGAGTACTTTATTCAAAAGATGTATCTTTGTAGTAGTATTATTTGAGTCTCCAGAATGCTTAACTAGGAGTGCTATAAGTCTAACAAAGGCGTCCAAGGTGTAGTAACATTTGGCTCTTATCACAGTAGGAGTGACAGTTTCGGCGAGATTACGACACACTACTTCAACGCAGAGTTGAGTGGACAGACGGAAAAACCGTGTAATCAAATCGTCTGTCTTTAAAATGCCGTGCACATTCATTTGGTGTACGAACATACTAAAGGCCTTCGTCGAATCACGCCCAGAGGCTGAGTGGTAGATATTTATCCAATCTTTTAACAGGAAGTCTGTTTTTTCCATTAATCCTGGAGGATCATCATAGTTTAATGATCGAGCCTGAAATAGATTTTGGATATAATTTTTTCAAAGACAAATGAAAGACGTATTTTGTACCTGCAAAATTCCGTTATGTATATGTACGGTAGGTCCAGCGGCAGCTCTTTCGCCAAAGAATCCCGCTTGGTCGTGATTTTGTCTAAGCAGGTCAATAACATTCGCTAATCCTTCAGGAGGTTGGCGTGTATGGGTCGCTATTTTCGCTAGCATATCGATAGTATTGATGAAGTCAGACTCTGTAACGAACTGATTGTTCCTGTCTTCAATGAGGAATACTTGCATCAGCTGCATTGCAAATGTGACGGCCATGTAGTTCAAGCCATTTTCAAGACAATGAGCTAGGGCCAAGTCATATTGAGGTAAGTTTACCAAGCCAGCTTGGATCAAAGTGTTCACTGCGTCTAAGTTATAGCGCAAATCTTCGCGACATTCTGTAAGAAAACGAGTAACTTGTTTATTCACCCACTGTTGCCCGAAAGCTCGAGGATCTTGTAATGCTTTGAGGACGCGAATATAGATCTCTTTGTAGCGCAAGACTACAGGTTCAGGATCACTTGATACTGACAGCAAGGCATCTTGAAGACCTTCGACACACTATGGAGACAAAAAAAATATTTAGCAGTCGATTTAACTTATTACTATAAAACAGTTTTAGGAATTAGATAATTTTTTTACATAAAAAAAGAACATTTTTTTCGACATACCTTTTGTATAAGATTAACTGCCGACATAACAATGTCCCTACTTCTTATTGCGTGTATGAGGCACTCGTGGAGTACATGCATATGAGTATTCATAACTGTAAAGGTTGCTTGACCGACAGTTGCTTGGACAAACTGCTCAACCTCGATAGCTAGTTTCTCAAACACTGCCACAATCTCCTCCGAAGCGAGTATCGCTTGGGAGTTCTGGAAGGGTGTAGGTGGATGTGGTTGGGGCTCTAACGTAACCTGAGGTTTCGGAATAAACAGAGCGGTATCGCGGTCGGTCAGAGGTAGGAAGCCGGGTATATTGCGTGCAAATTCCTCGTACACAGCCATTTGTTGTTGTGTCACTCCACCAACTTTAAGTCGAATCGGTTCGGGCATTCGTTCGGCCTGATATGTCAATGCGATGGCATCACAGTATCGCCTGAATAAATTTCCTTTTTATTTAATTACATTTCTAAATGGTACAAAAATACTTACCTGCCTTCCTGTCTTGCGATCTTCCTCAATTCGAATTCGGTAACTAATCGTTTGTCAATCTCAGGTATCGCTTTTTCGATCGCAGTTTTTTGTATAAAGGCACACGCGAGTTCCATATTATCTTGAGCGACTACATTCGCTGCTTGTTCGATCATCTCTTTTTGTTGGGCTGTTGCGCCCACCATTGCATTCTGTAACGTTGTTTTCATGTGCGTGTTGATAGCCGCTAGTAACTGGTCGCGACACGTTATCATCACCATGCCTGCAGTCAGATTACGTACCATGCAGTGTGCTGCAGTCCTCATACGATTTTCATCTGAGTCAAGCGCGAAATCTTTGCGAACGATATTCTCGCATGTCGTCAGTGCTATTTTGATCGATCGATCTACGACCGGTACGATCCATTCTTGTACGGCTCGTTCAATTGCAGTACGAACAAGCGGTTTCAGTTGTGGTTGACTTTGAAACAGCAGAATCGACGGACTAACTGTTATATGTGTTTGTAAAGCCGCATTTCCGGCCAACTGTATATCAACGTAGTTGAAACGAGGTTCAGGTGGTGCTGCAATAGTGCTCGTTGGTGTTGAGCTGCTATTTTGAGTTACAGTAGGCGAACTGACCGTCTGGCCTGAAACGACTGCTAGCTCCGAATCGTTCATATTCGGACCAATAGCTGTTTGGGTCGAAATAGGTTGTTCTTTTTTATTAGACTGAGACAGTTGGTATTCAATTTTGCGTAAGCGTTCAGGATCTTTTAAGTATACTGTTGGCTTAAGTTGAGACACTTCGAGGTCTAAAGTTTTACAAAGTACTTCAATTTCAAATTTAAGGTTCAATTTAAGATCTTGTTCTTGGTGCAGTTCTGCAAGAACGTTCATTATTGACATGGTCCATGGGTTTGGTGGCTTGAATACTTTACTTTTAGAACACGATTCAAGCACTTTGGCGACAAATGGGACCACATATAGCAGTTCTTGTTGACCCTTATGGTATGCCTCAACTAATAATGCTTTAAGGTCTATATCAATCTGTAGTATAGGCCTGTTGCGTCCCAACGTTAGCATTCCTAACCAATGACCCAAGTTTTTTAGCAAAGAACGGTCTGAAAAATTCGCAATTCCTTTATCGGAGCGTAACAGAACTTTTATGTTGCGAAATGTTTCTTTTGTGACCATTCTGTTTACTTCGGGTATCTTGAGAGTGTCCAGAAAATTCGAATATAATCCGTGAAAGTTTAATTCTATTGAGGCCCGTTTCATTACTAAATATTGCGCTATCCACGCCCAGTACTCTTCTTGTATTAGTTCACGGAGTTCGTCGCATTTTTGCTGTAAGTTTAGTTGACTCAAATTGTTAAATATAAAAGCCGTTTTGTCTTGTATGTTCTCTGGAGGTGCAATAACTTTTTCTTCTTTTTCCGTGGCTACCAAAAGTGTATCAATGTTCGTAGCATTGGCAATAGATGGTCTACTTCCCAAGGTACTTGTTGTGGTAGCACTGGTTTTTGTGCTGGAAACGGAAGATGGCGTTGAATTGGTGTTTTTGTAAGATTGCGCGTTAACAGGTCCCAGCATGGCAGTCAGGCTAGGTGGAAGAACTGGTCCCTGAGGTTTATTCGGAGGTTCTAAACTTTGCAAACCGAACTCTACATATTCTATCAGGTGGGGTGGAAACTCATTGAAGTGTGGAATCGCTCGAATATGTTCGCAATACTTATGGTACTCCTTAAGACGCGATTTAAAACGGTCTAACGCGGCAATACCAAAATAGTACATTTTTGATCCTTCTGATTTTTTTAAGGCATCCAAAACGAAACGCAAGGCCAGCCCTAAGGCCATATAGTTTGGCATAAGCCCTCGTTCTATTATTCCGCCGAACAGTTGAGCAGTTATGTGCAGCTCTTTGTCAGGATATTGCGGAAAGAATCGGTACTCTTCAAATAGGTTTCTTAACATACAATTGAAAACCTAAACATAAAAAAACATTTTTAACGGTTTTAAATGCCACGCTAACATCAGTTACCTCTCTTTCACGTTTAATCGATGAATCTTGAAACCTTTTGAGCATATCCAAAACTTCATCAATTGAGAGTGTGGGATGCGGTGGGTGATTATATATTCTTTGGAAGTAGCTGTTAGCCTCATCTTCTATATCTTTTGAAACGTTGGGAGCAATTTCAGGAAATAGATTTGATTCAGGTAGTCGGGGTTTCTCCATACTGGGATTGGGACCCATACGACTAAGACTCCCTAAACTGTTGACACCTGGCATAATATTTGCTGCTGTCCCTACAGCGCCCTGGTGTTGAAGCGGCATCATAGGAAAGGGACTATTTGATATAGAACCTACAAGTCTTGATGGTGAACCAGGCGATGGTACAAGTGGACCCAAACCACCTTGCAAATTGAAAGCGGAACTTGTGGGACCGCCCAAATTTATACTGGCTAGACTCGTCCCTATAGACGCTATAGGATCTACATTTGGATTAAAAAGTGGACCTGAAAAGAAAATTGCATAGTAAATCAATAAATCAGTTAAGCAGTAAAACCACTGTCTTACCTGCCATGCTCGATGAATTGTAAGGCACGTCAAGGCCCCTGTGCGGACGCAAGATTGCTGCTGGCTGTTGTCTTTGTTTGATGAGTATCGAACAACTGGTAGCTAAGTTGACGATCGCATCGTGGCAATCGGAACTCACGTTACCTAGGCACGATTGTAAACAAACAACCATTGTTGTTAGTGTTTCGTTCGGCAGCACTGCAGCTTTAGGTAAACTATCATCGCTTTTGCCAAACAGCTGTGGGCAACGTCTTTGTAAAAATTTAATACACGCTGTCACGAATGCTTCGCCGTGTTCCCTTATCTTGTCTGTAAGCCACTTTTCAAGTTTGAGATATTCACGTCGAGATGCCAAACAAGCAAGATCAATTATAAAAGGATAACTTTGGGCGTTAAGTAGCATCGAAAGTGCCTTGAGATCTTGAGCAACGTCTAAGATGCGCGAAAGACGTGTTTGATCGCAGTCGCCGCGCACGTACCACTCGGCCATCGCGTGCATGATAATAGGTTTAATGTTGAGCGCTTGAGCGTGCCATGCGTGATGAAGGATGATGGCAGAGTTCGGGTGATTGCCAAGGAAGATTGGGATTAGATTTGTGAGTAATTCCTGGCGAAGCATGGTAACTGGGCCCTGAATTTGTAACAATGCAAGCACCAACACGTCCGGGCAATTTTGTAATGGGAACTTAAACAGTTCTTGAACCTACAAATATCATAATTGGATTAATTGAAAAATACGTATTATTAATAAGAACTGTAACTAACTAAGAAAGGAGGGAGCAATTAATAATTAATTAAAAATGAAACTTACCTGAGGGTACAGTCCATAATCAGCTATAGTAAGGAGCAACTCTACAAGATTTAAAGATCTCCAATTGGCTAGCTCTTTGTTATCTTGTTCAGGGGGCGTTTTAAGCACGTCTACTGTAACTGGCAGGAAAGGGTAATCCGCGAAACAGAATACATCTGGATTTTTTAATACATTCTGTATCAAGCTAAACTGACCCTCGACGTTTTTCCATCTGCGATAAAACTGATCTACGGGGAAAGTTTCAGGATGGAATCCAAAATACTGTATTCCCACACGTAGTGCATTAATTAACAGGATAAGACTTTGCCGATCCTTGATTACGAAATCAGAATGATCTAATTCGACAACAACGTTGTTCCATTGGAAATTGGGAATTATTTCTTTTAAAGCTTGAACAAGCACTTCCACGTTCCAAGAGGCGCCTCGGGACTCTTTGAACGATCCAAGAGAGTCATCATGGGTTTTACACATGAGGGTTAGCACTCTTGCAATTGCCGATGGAGTCACATCGCGGCCACCGAGCTTTAATAAATTGTTACGACACTCATCCACTGATGAAGTAAAGGAGTATCCAAGTTCTGATACCAGGTCGGCAAGAGAAGTGTCTATCATACCCCCGGGTAGACCGGGGCCGTCCGAGGACATATCGGGCGCTAATTCACACTGATCGGGGTATATTAGGGGCGCAAGAACGACCGGAACAATGTCTTTTGGGAAATCACGCTGTAAAGTATTAAGAAAGTTTGTATGAACGTCGTTAGTGAGACCTAATTCTTTTGGTGATTTGAGAACGGCTGAAAGGATGACGTGCAGTATATCTGGACTGGTGTCGTGAAGACCACCTTCGTGTTGGCGAGCACTACCTTCGGTGTTTATATACGATTGAACGAGCGTGGGGATGGTGTGGCGTATGTGGGCTTGAGCCAAGGCCACCACTTCTGGATTAGTAGAATGGAGGAGGGCTAGAGCAAAGACTACCTCCTGAACAGCTGAGAGGCGCAGGCACTTGCACAATTGTTGGAAGAACTGTGGTCCAACTTTTAAGATCTATATTAGAGTAAATAAAAATTAATATATTTACCTACACCTACAATTGATTATTAACCATAAGAAGTACTTTTAGGATTTGAAGGTTAAAAATTTTGACAAAAGTCTTCCATATGACAGAGAGAAGTACAACTTACCTTTTGTTTGTTTATTGGCTTATCAGTACTGTAGCAAATAAAAGAAAGTAATGATGGCTTGTTTAGGAAAGTGTTGTATCGTTCCACGAGTGCTTGACTTTGAAGAGATGGAACAGTAATTTTACTTGTAGGTTCAGAAAAATCCACAGATGAAAACAGGCATTGGAGCAAGTGACGGTCTGCCTCCAGACCGTGGAGAGTTACTAACTGTTATTAAATTTATTCAATTAACAACAAAACTTAATGACTATCTTCAACTATAAAAATGTCTTCTGAAAATAACAGTTACAAATACACCAAATATTTATCGTTTTAAATTAAAACTTTCACTTTTTTTATTCGAATCTAGCGATCGCAGATTTTTTTTAATTTTTTAATTTTGAGGTTAACTTTCTTTTATGCAATTTCGTAAATGACTTGTTTCAATTATTCGACAATCGACAGTATGGCGGACGAAAGTCATTGAAGGTTCATTGAAATGATAAAAAAATGCTCTTACCTTTGAAAGATCAGCAACTACTTGTTTGTAGTTCTTTTTAGTCAAAGATGCAACTAAATAACTGATTTGTGACAAAGTAAAAGACAACGAATCCAGGTTCATAGTTCCATGAACACGGCTTCGAAAGCTTCAAACACAATTGAAGCTTTCTGAGATATGCACGGTGCTTTAATCCACAAAGTCTTATTTGCAACGCAAAGATAACTAAACTTTAAATGGTCCAAGACCATCATCGAATCTTCCATTTACTTTTCTACTTCAATATATTTTAATCATTCTATAAAATTAGATAACACAGAGCTAACACAACACGCACAAAGTACACAATAATAATAATAGGAAAACGTCATACGCATACGCTTGCGTGATTCTGAAAAATGTCAAAATTATTTCCAAACGGCATAATATTCATTTTATATAAAATTTTTGGAATAAATTAACAAAACTCATAATTTATTGGTTTTTGTATTGTTTATTAATTTTTAATTAATTTATCTGATATAAATTAATGCAAAACAAAACATTAAACTTTAGTAAAAATTAAAGAAAATATTTAACGCAACTAGAAATTTAGAACGATTCCAAATATATTAATTTGTCTGTTAGGTATTTGCAAGGCAAATTAAAAACATGATTTAAATTGTGAAACTATTGTTTATTGTTATTAATTAAATAAACTTATAAAAAAATTATAATAAAAAGGTGCGATGGCTGAATGTGATTAGTATACTTGTAGGTTATTCGAGTAATTAAAAATCAAGAACAAAAATAAGAATCTATTTTAAAACTTTGTAGAACCCACGTAGTCAAGGAAAGATTTTTAACTAATTACTTACTATTAATGAGTGCTGAAGAAAAAGATGCATTGGTCTACCGATCACTCTCCGTGCCGAACATCTCACCTTCCAGAAAATTTGAAAAACTTTATATAAATTGCATCAAGATTAACAGAAACACTAACCTTAGAAGACAGATAAGTTGTGAAGTTGTTTATGGTAAGCATTTATTTATTTATTATTATATTGTGGTAATTAGTTTTATCTCCTTTGTGTTTAGATAAAAACAGCGGTACAAAGGAGTCCACTATAAGAATTCTGGATTCACCATTAAAGTCACAAGGCATTAAAGAAACATATTCTGTGGAATTTGAAAGTATGCCACCAGTTCTTAATGATAATGTTGATAAATCGATTCGGAGCTCCCAAATAAAGAAAACCAAAACATCAGTTAATGAAAAATGTACTTCTAATGGAGAAGTTAATACTGAAGTACATCCTGATACCTTGTTGTCAAAAAGGAAGGAATTGGAAAAGTTCTTGAAGGAGCAGAGAGACTCTGCAACTAAATCAAAATCTGTTAAGAATAAAACTAACAGTAAGTCCTTTTTAATTACTTCATTGTTAATCGGTTTGATGTCAGTGGGAGCTTATCTTGTTCTCTATTATTATAATTACTACAACTATCTGCCATTGTGTAAAGATAAGACATTGCAATTGCAAAACATTAAAAAAGACTTGCTTGAGAAGGTCACTGGTCAAAAGAATGTTGTGGATACAATTATTTCTTCATTTGATGACATGGGTGTTTGGGCACAGCATATTAAGGTTGTCCCATTCGTGGGAAGTACAGGAGTTGGAAAAACCTTCATTGCATCTCTCATAAAACAGCATTTTGTTAATCAGTACGTTTATGAAGTGAGATACACTAATTTGCTGTTAAATATTGATAAACTTAACTCTGACTGTTGTAATTTACTCATTATTGATAATTTACTAGCTTCTGATGTAGAGAGGGTTATTGATTTTATTGGTACTTTGCCTAAAAATGTTTTTATATTTGTATTGCCAATTTTTAATGTACAAGGCAAACCGAACAATTTGGATAAGAGACTGAATGTTGATGACATAAAGCACATTGAAAAGAAACTTTCTGAATCAAATCTATATTATGAAATTGCCATGTTTAATTTTTTTACTGAGGGAGAAGTTAATGATTGGTTAACAAAAGAATTAAAAAAGTACAAATTAGATACTGGAAATGGTGATACTTTAATTAAAAGACTAATTTCTGAGACTGATTTTATTCTGAAAGGCCTGAAAGGGTTGCATAAAGAAATATTTTTAGAATTAGGGAAATTTTATGGCAAAGACTGAGTTAGGATAAACATTTGAGTGAAGAGATTTTCTATTTTATTAAGAGTATTTTCATACTGTCGGAATGTTTTCTGTTTTTTTTTTTGTATGTATTTTGTATGTTTAAAATATATTAATGCATAATTATTGCAATTTAATTGAGTCATTTCTACGCGTCATCATGACATTTTCATTCATTCCTTAATAAGTATCTTTTATTAATTTTGAATTTTAGATTTGCAGTTTACTGATTGCTGTAACTGCTAATTATTAAAGTTTTATTAATGTCTGCTATGTAACTTTTTGTTTTGTGTTAACAGTTTAAAAATTTAGGTATTTATTTGCGTCAAACCAATTTTGTGGGTGGAATCATTTTCGGTGTAAGTAAATTTCAATGTAGAGGGGTATTTAAAATTAGAGCAGCCTAAAAATAAGTTAAGTAGTATATGCAGTTCAAAGTTTAAAGAAAATTTGTATGCATAAAGGAGGGTAAAAACTGTTAGGTTATTTGTATTCACAGGTGCTTTGTGGGTTGACTAACTGATTTGGGTAGCTTGTATATGTTTTCTTTGTATGTGATATCCAGTTAAACATATACAGTACGATCCATAAAAGATTGTACTAATATTAAACTATTTTTTTACACAATTGGTGAATGAAAGGATTACCAAAAGTCAGTATTTGTTTCTAAAATTATTTATTTTTGGTAGTGATTTGAGAAAATACAATGTCATCTTTACTAATGTAGCTTAATTATAATTTGTGTTATTGTGAAGGAGTTAAAGTTTAGTCGATTTCAAGTTTTCTGAAATTTCCCATAACACCACACAGGGGGTCTTCTTCGCTGCCACAGGTGCCATTCTTTTTTAATGCAGATATTGCACCTTCACGAGCTTTCGGGCTGAAAAGCTCTTCTCTGACTTCCATCTCGTCATGTTTTAGAAGTCTTTGGTGTGATTCTTCCAGTTCTTTTCTCCATAAGGCTAATTTATGAACACAGAATAATATTTGAGCATTTATAATAATGCAGTTGATTCATTTTTTTCTATTCGTAACTATTTGATGGACACCTCAATTGTTTTGTTGGATATTGTACATTGTAATTTGTTTTGTAAAAATATTATAACGTAAAAACGTACCTATCATTTCTGCCATGGGCATTTTACCTCCGTATTCTTGAGGCAAGATCTCGGGGTCAAAATTTCCACTTGTTATCAATTCGTTTATGTTACTGTACAATTTTACCCTCTTCTTAATTTTCTCTGAAATTAGGGAAAAACCAAAATCTAGGACAAATTTCATTGACGGGTGTACTCCAATTCCGTGAACTTCCTTATGTCTCATAGGAACTGTTTTCTACAAATTACCAATGATAATTTAGGAAATGTAAGAGATGTTCAATATTTTTGATCAACACTGTACATTAAAATTTTAATAGTTAATGTTAGGTATCCATTAATTTCGATCATAAGAAATTTAGTAGCAACAGCAGTCGTGGCCGAGCGGTTAAGGCGTCTGACTAGAAATCAGATTCCCTCTGGGAGCGTAGGTTCGAATCCTACCGACTGCGGTGTACTATTTTTGCATTATTTGTCCATTTTAAAAGACGGTGTGTTTCATTTATGTAACTTTGCTTTTTAATTAGATAAAATAATATTTAAAAATGATTTTATAAATCCCTGAGCTATCAAAAGTTAGTCTATCAGAGAAATGAGTTCGTAAAAGCTAAGGCGTCGTAAAAAAGAAAATTATTTGTCTACCTCTCCATTTTTTACAAGTCTGACGGCTTCTTTAGGGGTAAACAGCGTAAGATATTGGAGACCAACACCGTTTCCATCGGCGAAATAGACGAATCCTCTAATTTGATTTTCTTCATCTTCCATTAGTGTTTCACAAACTATACCAGTATATCTTACCATATCCGCATTAGTAAACTTGTAGATGTCAAATACCCCTTAAAAAGTGCCGATTTAGTAGTAAAAATTAATTTCAGTTGGACTTTTGTGAATTACATTAGTAATTAGTAAAGAACACAATCTTGAATGTTCACAAATATCTTTGGAAATTCTTTTAAGGGTCGTTGTAATTTAAAAATATGTTTATGTACATCCAATTTTGTGCTCTTTACTTTACTAATAAAAATTGTTATAATAAAAAGTTGTAAATTTACCCGGTCTAGCCACAATGACCCTTCTTCCTTTGCGATCTCGTTTAGGACATGCAAAACCAAATCCTAACTGTAAAAGATCCTCCATCATGGGAATTGTCATGTCCAAACTGCTGAACAAAACCCCGTAGGTTTGTCGTAGTAAAAGGTATCGTTCGAGAGAATCTTGAGCATGTTTAAGACTAAACTTCTTTCCTCTGAGGAATCGGAGAAGAAATCTGGAATCTAAAAATAATTTTCTAAAGACATTACAAATAAAAATGATCAAAACCACTCGGAACTGCTTCAAGTCAAAACCATATTTTATTTATAATCTCTTCCCAACGTTTGACCCTCCAATTGGGAGCCTCTTAGGAAGAAATTGCAAATAAAATATGGTTTTGAGTTGAAGCAATTTCGAGTGGTTTTTGTCATAGAATCCTAATTTTTAATTAATTAATTTGTGACAACTTCTATTTTGTTTCATTTAATTTTTTGGCAACTTTACCTAATCTGCAATTAATAATTCGCGGATTTTGGACAACCCAATCTCGGAATGCCTTGATAGTTTTATTTCGAGTATTGGGATCTTCTCCAAGCTCCTCTTTTGCAATTTTTTGAGTATCTTCCGGAAGAGTACAGATGTATTCATCGGGATCTGTAAGCCATTTGCGATCGGACATCATAAAGAAACTGGATTTAAAATTTATCGCCCTTCACCTGAATTAAACTAAACAAAAAAGTTTATTAGTTGTATAAAATGAAATTGTTTTTTTATTTTTAAAATCAATAAACTAGAGTCCACAAATTTTAATAACAAAATCCGTTTTCAACTGATCGTGAAGCAGAAAATTGTTACAGAACGAAAAGGTGGTATTTGTTAATAACAAGTACCGTTTGTTTTTGGACTTAAAAGCTGTGCGAGTGATAGTGAAAGTAGTATTACATAATGTATATAATGCCACATGTTATATCATCGCGTTGTGTTTGCATTTCTTCTGTGGCACACTTCTTATTAATAAAATTTTCGGTCAAGCCATTACCGTAAGGCTTCATCAATATCCACTTTCGGATGTAGGTATATAGTGCGTTCGGATCGAAAGTAAGTTAAGTGGTCAAAAACACAGACGGAAGTTATGTAAGAGAAACACGAATTAAAATTTAATTTTATAAAACAAATAAAACCGAAATATCAATAATAAAAAAAAACACGTTCTTCAAATAATTAATTTTTGTACTTACTACTTTTGAAAATGCAAATTTTTGCTTTTAGTTGTTTTATTCAAAATAAATTTCAATCATTTAAGTAATAAACAGATACGTTTTAGATTAACAAATTTGCAATAAACGACTACTTTTGATTAATATTAAAATATGTTCAATACATTATTCTTGAAAGGAATATAACAAAGTTTCTTTTTTATATTTTACTTGAGAAAAAAGTTTTTTAACATTTCTTAATGAAATGTTAATTAAAATTAGTCTTGAACGTTTGCTTAAAATTTATTAGATTGAGCGTTACATATTGAAGTTATAATTTATGTTAAGTATTACTTACATGTAATAAGATTTTTGGGTAAATATTTAACATGTAAAAAAGGCACTGTACTCACCTAAAACATTAACTAACCAACTATTTGAAATGATCAATAACTCCAAACTTCTTTATTTAAAAGACCGCCGTATCGTCGAGTCTCCCACTTTTTATCCATTTTCACCAATCAGCTCGTGCTCTTATTTGGGGCGACAATGGGAAGAAATTAAAGTCATTAAATTTTGAAATGAGTTCGTGTCTTTTAATCCTCTGTGCAGATAACAGACACCTTTTGCTACTTATAGGTACTTAATTAAATAGTTTGAAATCTGTTATTTCCTGCTAGTTTTTGCTGTTTCGAAAGTGCGGTCGTATATGTGATATGTGAAGATTCGTTTTGTATAACAATACGCATTTCTTAACGATGCATGATTGAAGATTGTGTGCGTCTAATAAGTGTGTTATATAACGTCAATTCTTTTTTATTGGCCTCTTTTTTATTATATATTTTTTTAAAAAGTGTGCTGTAATACTGTACCATGCACAAAGAAAGTTTTGTTTCCAAAATTCATTTCCTAGATACAAAACAAAAGTAAACATGCAAATAAAAGATCTCTCAAGTTAATGCGACGGGGGAAGTACCAAGTACATCGGGGATTTACAGCAATTTTTAGTGCCAATTCAAATTAGTTTTTACAAACTAAGGTTTAGTTTGTTCATAATAATATATAGTGGCATAGCATACTTAATATGCTATTCACATATATACAGACACATATTGTAAATTTATTAGTTTTTATTTAAGACCATTAATGGTCATACATTTTCTTCTGGGTGTGTGACATTCGATAATTAAGAACAGAGTACGAAAAAAGTAATTTTATTAATTTAGAATTCAAATACAGCTGATACATAAAAACTATAACATAAAATAGACGCATATTAATAATAAATTAATTAGCTAATTGTGTTATTGTAAAAAAAAGTTATTTGCATTCTTCATGATACGGTTCTAGAGTTCGCAAGTCTCGCCAAGTGGGGGGTAGGTTGCTGTGAAGATGATTTCCGCATCTTTTACATGAACAACTAAATAACGTATTATAACTATGAAACCAGTGCTAGAAAAAGTAATTGGTTTTTAAAAAGATTTATTAGTATCTAACTATCATATATGAACTATCTTGTGTTGAGGAAAAGTGTGAATTTTAAAGTAAATGTCTTAGTAGTTTATTTTAATTAAGATTAAATTGATTTAAAACTTCATAAAGACAAGGAAATAAATCTGTTATATTTTATTTAAATAATGTGACATTAGTATTTGTAGGTTATGTTATGGTTTGTTGTTATAGATCACTGTAAGGTGTAAGGGCCCAAAGCANTTCACTTTTTTTATTCGAATCTAGCGATCGCAGATTTTTTTTAATTTTTTAATTTTGAGGTTAACTTTCTTTTATGCAATTTCGTAAATGACTTGTTTCAATTATTCGACAATCGACAGTATGGCGGACGAAAGTCATTGAAGGTTCATTGAAATGATAAAAAAATGCTCTTACCTTTGAAAGATCAGCAACTACTTGTTTGTAGTTCTTTTTAGTCAAAGATGCAACTAAATAACTGATTTGTGACAAAGTAAAAGACAACGAATCCAGGTTCATAGTTCCATGAACACGGCTTCGAAAGCTTCAAACACAATTGAAGCTTTCTGAGATATGCACGGTGCTTTAATCCACAAAGTCTTATTTGCAACGCAAAGATAACTAAACTTTAAATGGTCCAAGACCATCATCGAATCTTCCATTTACTTTTCTACTTCAATATATTTTAATCATTCTATAAAATTAGATAACACAGAGCTAACACAACACGCACAAAGTACACAATAATAATAATAGGAAAACGTCATACGCATACGCTTGCGTGATTCTGAAAAATGTCAAAATTATTTCCAAACGGCATAATATTCATTTTATATAAAATTTTTGGAATAAATTAACAAAACTCATAATTTATTGGTTTTTGTATTGTTTATTAATTTTTAATTAATTTATCTGATATAAATTAATGCAAAACAAAACATTAAACTTTAGTAAAAATTAAAGAAAATATTTAACGCAACT